AAAAATGCACTTTTTGTTTGCTGAATTTGTGTTCCACTGTATTATCTGAAACACTACACTAGTATAGATTTATAGTTTTTTGGAATACATAAGGGTATAAGCGCCAATCAATTTGTCGTCGTCTTCTCTATAATATTCCAGACTCTCTTCTCATTTTCTGGTCTAGAACAGATATTATTTTAATATCGCTTTAGCCTGGTATGTACGTAGGCAATTTGTTTTCATTAAAATTTAATTTAATCATTTCGTCATTCCGTCATTCCGTCAACAACGAACAGTTATACAGGCTTTTTTCAAAACGCCTTCCCATATTGAGCTAATTTTTAGTTGTGAGTCTACTATGTTGAGTTACAGATCGAGTTTAAGTTTGGTTCCGCTCCGCTGATGTTTGCCGAAATAACGGGCTTTGGACTTTGAATATTTCGTGAAAATGATAGTTTTACATACTGATTTCTAAACGGCTTCACATATTGAGCTGATTTTTCATATGTGAGTCTACTTTTTACCGAATTATGGGCTTTGGACTTTTTTAACGTGAAAATAACAGTTATACGGACTTTCATTCTCAAATTTCCAATCCTAAAAATGGCTTTAAGCTTTGTTTTTTTGCGATCGGGGCCACTCGTGTCGTTCCGACACATCTAGTTTTTACTTTTTTTTTTTATTTATAACGTTGCCAACTTATTATTTTCATTAAGCTTTTTAGTCGTTTTAAATCTGATTCTGAAACATTATACTTGCATATTCTTTACGGTCAACTGTACATACCTGTTGTTAACAGCGCGTGACAGCAATTTATTTGTTTATAAGTAGGTATTTTTTTTTTACATTGAGCTTTTAAAAATGATTACCCATAACTCATGGAGACGCCTATTGTCCTACAATCTGCCGATACTTATAAGTTGGTATTGTATGTAGGGTCATACTTTTCTCAGAGTGTTAATGCGACATAACTTGCAATTCATCCGATTTTTACTGATCGGCAACACAAGTATTTAATAGAAAAACAAAGGATATGGAGTATCCATTCATGACACAAAATCAGTACATGCACAGCAAGAGCGAAATTCTTCATTTTTCTTATTGTATATTTTAATTGGTTTTGAACAGCTTTCAATATTATTTGAGAAGTCTTATAGCCAGCCCAGTATGTTTTTTTATATCCCGTTAGTCGTTTTGTGCAGAACGTTTCGGAGTTTTCGGTTATTTTCAGTTATTAATGCTTTTCAACTTCGTAATATTTGGCTTTGCAACTTGTTTTTTATTCGAGCGCCACTAATGTAGCCGAAAAGCGCGTCTGTCGTACCAAATTATAAATCTAATATCTTTGATAAGGCTTTAGACTGGTTATGTGTGTCTTTTTATCCTATTTTTTGCTAATTTTGTGACGATCTTATTAGGCATTACCTTTCCGACTGTGTGGCGGTTTGTTCTTGTATTGTGCTGTTATACTACTGTCATAAGTTAGAGTGCGTTCAGGTAAAAAAAACATGTTTAACCCCGTCACATTGTTTTTTGTGCATGTCGCAGGTTTAAAGCTTGTGATTTTGTAAGTGTCGTTGGTTGCTGTTGCTCTTGCATTTTATTTTTATTATTATTTTAGCACCTTTAATTTGTGTTACAATGTATTGTCTGAAATATCATACTTGAATATATTTGAAATACCTGTTGGGAAAAGCGCTTATCATTTTATTTGTTTGAGATTTTGTCAATGTTTTCCTTATTTTCGAAGATTTTTCCGCATTCAAGATATTAATCTGGTAAAGAAATAAACGTAGTTTTTTTTTCATTAACTTTTTTTATCATTAAATCTATAACTCTAAACGCAATGAATTCTTGTCTAAAACAATAATTTGAAGACTTTTACTGGTAAATTTTTTATAAAATTTGGTAAACTCAATTGGTTTTACTATTTATTCTCTCAAACATCATGTTTGCAAATGCTTTGACAATCAACTCGGAACCCCAACTTTTAAAATCGGATTTTGACAATATGTTCGACAATTTTATAATCGATACAGCTGCTTGTGGACTGTTATTCTCAAAGGGTATCACACGCTTGATAACCAGTACTTTGGTACTTGGATGAAAATACGGATATCGTTTGATTTAAATTTGCTATTTTAAATCTTGTAAATCGTTTTAAATTAAGGAACAATCATCCCTCATCCACAGCTCTGATTCCTTTTCCGGTTTTCGGTTATTATACAGTCCGCCAAAAGTTAAGCACCACTTTTTTTATTGCATCGAATTTTTTTTCATTTAAAAAAATCAGTTAATCCTCGAAAAAGAGAAAATATTCATGTAGCATTTTTGCTAACATATACCATAAACAAACCGTAGACTTAAGTTTGTTCACGTATGCAGGTTCTATGCATTTGAAATTTGCGTTCATAGAATTAGTGAAAATTACAAAAATCAGAAACGGAATTTAAGTTTCACTGTGATTTTATTTTTTTACAACAATTAATCACCCAATATCATTAAAAGTCTCTACAGATAATCTTTGGTGTGTACGGCAAATTTAATGTTAATATTTGAGTCAATAGGATGTGTAACACCCTCTGTTCCGGTACAGTTCCATAACATACTCTGTACAAGCCTTCTGAACTTTAGTTGAGCAAATGTATTCCATTCAGCAACATTTGCGCTTCTTAAATCGCTAAGATTTTGCAAAGGTGGATCTCTGCGATTGAGATTTCTGCCAATGGCATGCCAGACATGTTCGATAGGGTTCATGTCTGGAGACATGGAAGGCCAAAAGATAGTGTCAATGGCTTCTTGCTCTTTGTACTCTTTGTACTCGGTTACAATCCTTGCCCTGTGTGGTATAGCATTGTCGTACATGCACAAGGGTCTTGAAGCAAGTGGAGGATTATCAAAATGAGGGACTACAATGTTTCTAAGCACCAAATCCCTGTATGTCTGTCCGTTCAAGTTACCCTGCAGAATATGCATACCCACTATACAACAGTATCAGAAGAAACCCCATACTGTAACACCACCAGCAACGTATGCAGTCGATGGGCAAATGTTGTTTTGGTCATTAGCAGTTTTATTTCCACGACAAACTCGTATTCTGCCGTCTATTGGTCGTAACAGAAACTGCCTCTCATTTAACCAATGAACATTTTGCCAGCTTCTCATGTTCCAGCGTCGATGGTCATTAGACCTTTGAAACCTGATTATACGGTGCCTGGCTGTTAAGGCAGGTCTCTTGACAACACGACGTGCTCTTATGTAGCCTCTATGAAGTCGACGGACCAATGTTCGAACAGTTACATGACCACCTTGACGACAGTGGTGTCTAAGTTGTGGGGCAGGAGTAAATGGGTTGGCTTTAGCACAACCAGTAAGGAGTCTGTCATCACGATCGGTAGTTAAACGGGGGTCTTCCGGACCTTGGTCTATCATTTACAGTTCCTGTGTCAACATGACGTTGTAAAAATCTGACAATGACGGTGTGTTTAACATTAAAATGGTTACCTATGCAACTAGTGCTCCTACCGGCATTTGACATGTCAATTGCTTGTCAAGGTTCAGTCACATATAACTTACCCCTTGCCATATTTCACAGTGACTTGGTGAATGTCAAATTTCACCTGTACGCGGGACATTAGGAAGATGATTTAAAGGCATTGAAACAGTATTCGAAAAAGTGAAGATGACCTTTAATAAAAAATTGCTTTGCGTGTTTATCGGAGTTTATTTATTTTTTTTGGTCGTAATGAATTTTCTTAGTGTATGTTATAGGCAATTCATAACACCAAACATAAATATTTTTTTCGCAATAGTTAAAAAAAAATATTGCCAGTTATATTTAGGTGGTGCTTAACTTTTGGCGGTCCTTTTTTGGTTTTATCAGCTAATAAAGTTTGTATTATGTTTTCGATATTCAAATATTTTGACCTCGAGCATCATTGATGATACATTTTCTGTCGAAATGTTAATATAGTGCAGTAGCATTGGTACCGTTAATGTTTTTTTTATAAAACATAGGATGAAAAACTAAAGTATACATTTTGTAATTCCATTTTGTTTTTCATAAAAAAAAATTTCAAACATCTTCTTTGCATTTTTTTTTACCGTCGATGGTATATACATGTAGCCAACGCGTGGGACTGAAATTTATAATGTATTATTTTCATTGTATTTGTGTAACTTGATTATGACATATTTTGCGAATATAGATCTTCATGTTTACGGATTTATATTTTATTTTTGCTAGTTAAAGCGCCTGACTATATTTTATCAAAATTGGTCAATATTTTTTAAACGATTTTCAAGACTTACCTCGAATTTCAGATAAAAACCTATATAGAATTTAGTAAGGCTTAATCGTCTGATTTGTTTACTACGTAGCCATTTTTATTTATTTTTATGAATCTGATTTCAACATTTTGATATTGATTTTCTAATGAGTTGTCTTTTACTCAATTCGTTGTTACTTGCATACATTTGAAAGAATGGAAATTCAGATTTGGTCAATATTTTCGATATTTTTCAATACTTTTTAGTAAAAATTTTAGCTTTATTTTTACATTTTATCAATAATGCACGTAACCATTTATTTTCCAAAAAATCTTTACAACAAATTTATTCCATAACTCACAATGCAGTTATACATGCTCGAATATTGGTTCTCATACCACATCTTCTTATATCTATATACATGCTCGAATATGTTTACAATATACATAAAGTTTTGTAACACATTATATACAAAATTTACAATCCAGAAACACATGCTCAAATGGGTTTACTATTTATTTTTGGTGACACTATTAAAATTATGGTAACCACAATCCCTTCCTCTTTTCCTCGATAGTGACATCACTGAATGAGACGTATCACCAAAAATGTACTTACACGATCATCATGACGGATCTGTCTACCCTTCCGGATAATCTTATATCCCCCTTGTTGATGGTGTGGTATCTGTTGCTCAGCCTTTAGTGTTCTATGTTGTGTTGTGAAAACTGTTGTTTGTATTTTCGTTGTTTTTCTTTTTTTCTTTTTTTTTTGCCAAGGCATTGTCAGTTTGTATTCGACTTATGAGTTTGAATATCTCTTTGGTATCGTCCGCTTATCTTTTATTGTCTAAAACAATATATTGAATATTGTGATTAAACTTTTTATAAAGTTTTATTAGTTTTTACTCTCTCAAACATCAAGCTGTCCAGCTGTCCAATGTTGTGACAGTCAACTGGTGACTTTGCTTTAAAATCGTGGAAACATTTTAAAACACATTTGGTCAATAATTTCGACAGTTTTATAAAATTTAAGATCAAAGACTGGTATCGAATTTAAATTTTTTATTTACATAGCCAAGTTAAGTTTTAAAAACAAACGAGCACATATAACTGCATTGTGAGTTAGTGGTTGTATTTGTTGAAAATCTTCATGAAAAAATTTTATCTTAAAAGACAATAAAAATATTAAACTATTTTAAATTGTATAGGAGTTTTCATCTGAAACTGAAAGAATATCTCTGAAGTTGTTTATAAAATTGACTTGATTTTTACAAAAATCAAAGAATGATTTTACCAATGATATTTCAACTTCGTACTTTATTTGGCCTTTTAATATTTTTTTTATTCGAGCGTCACTGATGAGTCTTTTGTAAACAAAACGCGCGTCTGGCGTACAAAATTTCAATCCTGGTATCTATGATGAGTTCATTTCCATTTAACGTCAGAAAATATGAAAGCTTGAAGTTTCAGACAATAAATTGTTTAGCAAATAAAACTGCATTTTGATTTATGGATACAGTATTTTGAAAACTGTAAAAAAGTAAGGTGGTAACATTATAAACTATATGTTAAATTTTATACCAGTTTTGATCCGAGGAAAGTCTCTGAGAAAAGGGGTCGGATTTTTTCAAACCAAGCTTATCCTTTTGATCGTGAAAACATTTGAAGGCATGCTAAATGTGAAACCAAATGAGCTTATAAAACTCCGTTGTGAGTTAAGCATTATTCTTCATTTGGTCAATATGGTGGACGATTTCAATACTCTCCTAGAATTCCAGATAACATTTTGATTATAATGTGTCCATTATTCTTTTCAACAAATTTCATGCAAAACACACCATGTAGTTACATTTGATCTTATGTATGTACTATCTATAGTTTGAAATATACAGTTTATATCTTTGACGTTTTATTGAAAATACCATCTGGTAACAGCGCTCATATATTTATCATTCTAAACTGTTCAATAGTGTGGACGATTTTTGAGATTCTCCTCAAATTCAAGCCAAAAAATGGTGAAGGATTTAACATTGCTACGCGTGCAATTTGTTTGTGTTTTTTTATCTATTTTTTTTTTAATTATTTTGAACATTGAAATCAATAACTCTGAATTCAATTTCTATCTGCTCATATATATATATTTATTTATTTGTTTAAACAATTATTTTCCGTAACATTCTCTTTGCATTTAAATTACCGCCAATGGGACATACCTGTTGTCAAAGCGGACCTAAAATCTAGAAAAATTCTTCAAACGCATGAAATTTAAAAAGTATTTTCTTCATTTAATTTGTATTTTTAAAACTGGGTTTATGATATATTGTTCGAATCAGTTTCTTTGTGTTTACATATTTTTTTGGCGGGAAATCGGCATACATGCTGGTTATCGTTGTGAATTGTATTTTGTACAACTTAAGGAAATTAGAATTACTAATTTTTAAGATATTCTCTGATTTAAGGATACAAAAACTAACATAGCTTTAGCATGTGTATTTCCTTAACAATTTTTTTTCAACTTTCAACCTTTCCCAATTCAGTGATATGTCCTCGAACAATTATTTACAATTTATTCTCCGAATCATCCTGTAAACATAATTTCAAACGGTCAATACGCTTGATTCAAATCGTTATCTTTCTGTCAAAGTGTTTGGTTTTATATGACATTATTTGACGTCATTTGTGCGTTTGCTGGGCCAAAAATCTAAGTCAGTACGTTGAGCAAAGGAATATATATTCTTATAGGATCATTTCAGTATGACTGCTTAGATAAAAGTATAAGAATATAAAAAAAAAGTTTTTCTTGTATTGGAAATGATATGAATCACTGTATTGGAAACACCTCTCCAGAAAAGCAGATCAATATTTTTCAACATTTTTCGACATTTAAAGCGAATTATAGATAAACTAAGTGGCACACAGTTTTTAATTTTATTCTAACGTAGCCAATTAGCACACATTAACTTGTTATTTAAATTTATATTATTTATTAATGCTAAACGGAGGCTATTACATTTGCTATTTCTTTAAATTGATCCTATTCGCTAAATTTTTAAAAACAAAAAAAGATCCATTAAAAGGACTAGCCATACATGTTTGTTATAAAATTAGGAGATATGATAGGACTGCACATGAGACAACAATCAAAGGAGTCCAAATAAATCAGATTTTAACAATTATAAGTCACTGATTTCTGACAAAAAAAAAAAACAAACGAGAAAAAAACATGACAGACAGCAGCTAACCTCAACCACTGAATAACAGGCGCCTGATTCGGACTAAAGTATAAATCAATATCAATCAATACACATCCAATGGATTTGATGTAGAGTAAAGACGTCATTAGCAGTCTGAGAAAAGCATTACCTTGGTCGATGCCAAACTGTACATAATATATCTACAACATGTAGGACCATATATATATATCAGTCGACCTTTATTTTTTATTTTCATTACAATTTTCAGACATAATAATCCACACTCAAATTTCAATCAAATAACTTCAAATGCTTTTTAAAATTTAGTTTGTGATCATTTTTGTGTACATATTCTTTTGACTGTTATTTGTAAATGCGTGTGTGAAAAGCGCGGGTCCGTTTTTTGTTCCGATTTTGTCGATAATGTCGACAATTTTCAAACCTTTTCTCTAATATCAAATTAAATCTGTTTCAGGATTTAATATTCTAATAATGACGTTTTTAACGCTTTGAGTACACAATCGTGGTAAAATACGAATATAGTGTATGTCACCTCATCATGATTTGTTTTGGCAATTTCAATCATACTCCCACGTCGTGTGCTTTTTATGAATAAGTTATCCGAGGTCAATTGGTATAAAGGACGTCATGGATTGATTGATGGTTTGGCTGCTTAACGTCCAGTGGCAAATATTGCATGCATGTTCAGGACGAGAACAAATTAACAATAAATACAATAGGTAGGTCCTGTAATGGAGGCCGTCCGGGATGAAGATCAGGAAATTTTGATTGCCACTGGAAAATGAGGGTATACTTGGATAGGGACAGACATTTTACCTTGCAACAGGCAACCTATGGGCCCCTCAAAGAGTTGTTGCAAGGGTTCTTAACGTGCAAAGAGTGTGGAACTCTTTTTACAAGCGGTTTTGGATTTAACGTCCCCATTCTGACCGGACGTGGCCGCGTACTTGTACATCAAGCACAGCCAAACGGACGTCCAACTTTGAAAAGGATTTTACTGCCGTTCGGAAGAAGAACTAAGGGACTTATCATGTTTTACCTGGGAGGAGGGGAGGGTTGGTAAAATGTAGGGGCTCAACTTTTTTTCTGTAAGTGGAAAATTGAGGTTCAAATATTTTTATAAATTCAAAGTGTGGGGATCAATTTTATCTCTAATGAAACATTTGTGAACCTTTGGAATCTTCAAGTATATCCTACATATCATGTGTGTCAAAGATAAGTGTTTTGCATGTTAAAAGTTTGGCATGTTTTTATTCCCCATTTCCATTCTCAATTTTATTAATAGATGGGGGATCACATTTTTTGTTAATGTGTTTAAGGGGGGATAAAATAAAAATAGTGAAATATTATGGTGGATCAAGAAAATTTTATATGTTTGATTTCAAAATGAACAGTCCCCCCCTCCCCATCCCAGGTAAAAAAGATAAGTCCCTTAGGGACCATATTTCTTTTCCCCCATCACCTTTGTGGGTTTACAATGCGTAAGAATATAAGTATTCCACGGGAAAATGCACGAATGTGAAACTGAAAGTCGTCAAAACATAGAAACATAAACTAACGATGATAAGAATTTGTTGAATTTTTTAGTAATAACAGCAAGATATTATTTAACTTCGTCCAAACTTATTATGTTATGGTAAATCGTTGAGCATGTCATTAATTCTTCACTTTTCTTAGTCTATTACGTCCATATTAATAGCATGTTTAATTACGGGATCATCCAATATTTGCCTTTACCCAGAGCGCATCCATCCAAAAGAATGGCCGTCTTTGTTCTATTAGAAAAGAAATAATTCATGGGGATTTGAATTTTTATTGATTTCACCACGGGTAGCGCTCGGGGTAAAATATCTAGCATAAAGTGCCAACTCGTGGCAAAATCAATTGGAAATACATTTGAACCTGTTACAACATCGCTGATTATTCTTCTTTTAGATTTTGTAAATTTTTACGACAATTTCCGAGACTCTCCCTGAATTGAAAATTTAAAAAAAGGTCTTAGCAATGCTCTATAGTTTCATTTTTTATCTACGTATCAAAACAAAAGTAAATAAACAAAAATACCGAACTCCAAGGAAAATAAAAAAACTGAAAGTCCCTTATCAAATCAAAAGCTCAAACACATCAAACAAATGGAAAACAACTGCCATATTTCTGACTTGGTACATGCATTTCCTTATGTAGAAAACGGTGGATTAAACCTGGTTTTATAGCTAGCTACACCTCTCACTTGTATTTTGTATCAAAGTTTCAAAAATAAGTAAATCCAAATGCAGTTATATCTGCTGTTCATACAATTTATTGTCTGAAACATCATGCCTTCTTGTTTTTTTTTGTTTTTTTTTTTACAGTGAACGGAAATTCCTTTTGTTAAACGCATGAAACTCATTTTTATTTGCATATCATCAAATTATATAGAAATAGGAAGATGTGGTATGAGTGCCAATGAGACAACTCTCCATCCAAGTTACAATTTATAAAAGTAAACCGTTATAGGTCAAGGTACGGCCTTCTACACGGAGCATTGGCTCACACCGAACAGCAAGCTAAAAAAGGCCCCAAAAAATTACTAGTGTAAAACCATTCAAACGAAAAAACCAACGGTCTAATCTATATAAAAACGAGAAACGAGAAACACGTATGAACTACATAAACAGACGACAACTACTGTAATCAGATTCCTGACTTAGGACAGGTGCAAACATTGCAAAACCTTCTCCCTTTTCTGAAACAATAGTATAACATCACAACATAGAAAAACACACTATAAAATATCAATTGGAAGGCTTAACTCAATCAAAAAACGTAAATTAACACACAATGAACGAATAAATTTGAACTGTGACACCTGAATGCAAATACACAGTTAATAAAAAATTACAAGGGCTAAATAATTAAAGTCAAAAGTAAATAAACAGGTTTAAACAAAGTTAAAGTGTGATATCACTGTGAAATTTCAAACAATTTATAGAAATTCATCACTTTTGAAGAAACCTGCGTCATATTATATACAGGTAAATGAAAATAATTTTGTTGTTAAGTATACTTCTTCTTCTGTGTGTATATACATGCATCAAACACTTAATTTTCATATTTCGTCAAATAACGAGACTACCTCGAAATCTGAATAACAAAACGGTATAGATAAAGGCAACAGTAGTATACCGCTGTTCGAAACTCATAAATCGATAGAGATAAAAACAAATCCGGGTTACAAACTAAAACTGAGGGAAACGCATCAAATATAGGAGGAGAACAACAACACAACAAAAACACAACATTAAAATGTAACACACACAGAAACGAACTATAATATAACAATGGCCATTTTCCTGACTAGGTACAGGACATTTTAAGAAAATAATGGTGGGTTAAACCTGGTTTTGTGGCATGCCAAACCTCCCGCTTTTATGTCAACGCCAAACACAACACAAAAACGACATCACATGACAGGACCACAATACAAATAAATTGGAGAACACATAGGACAAAGAAACACACGAATAATAGCTAACAAAAGGTACTAGGCTTAAAATTCAATACGCCAGACGTGCGTCTAGAATTTATTATTTCTTTAGCTCAATTGCTTTAACAATTTATTGTCTGAAATATTAAAGAGAGACGAAAGATACCAAGGGACATTCAAACTTATACATCGAAAATAAACTGACAACGCCATGGCTAAAAAAGATAAAGACAAACAAACAAAAAACATACACAAAAACAACATAGAAAACTAAAGACTGAGCAACACAAACCCCACCAAAACTGGTGGTGATATCAGGTGCTCCGGAAGGGTAAGCAAATCCTTCTCCATATATGACACCCGTCGTGTTGCTCATGTAAGTACAAAATCGATGATAATTCTAATTCGGTAGGTCACATTCAGGGAAAAGAGGACGGGATTGTAGTAACGACAATTGGAACATATCCGTCGTCATCTGTAAAACAGATATTCTCTAACAGTCAACCAACTTATTATGGCGTCCGTAAAATTAATTTTGATATATTGATAATTTCAACTTCAACACTTGGAACTCTTAGTTTAATAGCTTCCTTGTGAGCAGTAACCCTCTATCAAGGAAAGCATGATAGGAAATACAAGCCCTAGAATATCGTATCAACTGGGCGATATATACTCCGAATGCAGGCGCTGCTGAAATGTTGCTACATAGAAATGGAAAGTTCACAATTGGGAAGCTGCAATCATCTCTTTGAATGTAAAGTTTTGTTTTTTACCGACCCTCATTGTCAATGTCTAGATGTAAGTCAGGATATGAGGCAGACTTAACTGTATCTGTTGAATCCTTTATATCAAGTTCGATGGGATAGATGCGTTCAACAAAGTAACTAAATTTTGAATTATTTAGTGAGGGAACATCATCTTTTTAGTGGAAAGTGAAGTTGAAGGATACTGCTAACTTCTTTTCTTTCATCCTAAGAAGTTCCTGTAAGAAGTCAGCCTCATACGAATAAAGGAACACGTCGGCAAGAAGAGGAGCACAATTGGTTTCCATGAGAATACCGATTGTTTGTTGAAAAACACGTCCTCCAAACGTAACAAATATGTTGTCAATCAAGAAATCAAGCATCTTGATAATGTCAATTTTTTGTTTGAATCAGAGTGATTTTTTAAAAATGTATGATTTATCCCGCCCTAAGACAAGATACTTGTATCTACGTTGGCCATTCTTTTTTATGAAACAAAGCAGGACCAACTCTTTCAATTTGTCTTTTAGTGTTGAATAAGGAATACTTGTGTAAAGTGCAGAGAAGTCAAATGATTCAATACTATTGCAAGGTGAAAGAGTCTTAGATTGTAAGTACTCTAAAACATCTGACATTTTTTTAGGATCACGTCACCTCTAGAATAGGTACTTTCACAATAACTTTGAAGCCCGGCTTTGAATGTTGATCAAATTGATGTTCAGAATTTAGAAAGAGGTTTCGTGCATATATTTTACGGCCAATTGAAATATCTGAAGTTAACTGCGCTGAACTGTGTATTGTTCATATTTCACCTATTTATTTTTAGAATTTCAAATAAAAATCTGATATATCATGTCAACTCGTAAAAGAGTTGTATTTAATTTTCATTCAGATCTCAAAATTGTAATTCATAACTCACGATGTAGTTATATTCTCTCCTTTTATAAACAAGGTATTGTCTTCAACTTTAAATTTCAATATTGTGCTGACGATCAATGCAAAATACCTGTTAGTAACATTGATAAAACATTTCCTCTAATCTTAGATCAAAACCTATAATTGAATTCAACACTTGATTATTTCTTTACCTTAAAAAACTAAAATGACAACCATTTACTTGACGGTCAAATTAATTCGATGTTTTCTAAATGTAGGTTCTGTACTAATAAAATTGTGAATGGAAATGGGGAATGTGTCAAAGAGACAACAACCCGACCATAGAGCAGACAACAGCCGAAGGCCACCAATGGGTCTAAGCCTTTATCGACAATGTCCTTGGTTTTATGTCTTCTTATGAATTTAAAATAGCTTGTTGCGGCTGTAGCTCTACGACTGTGCACATTCGCTGTCCTAAACGCTGCCGAATACTTCTATCTTGGCATTGCACAGGATCTTGCTTTTCTTAGACTGCTAATGACGTCTTTATCCGAAATATTTTGGACGTGTACTGATTGATACTTTTTTTCTGGGAAAACTTGATTTATAATTAATTAGGTTTAAACTATAGTTTCCATTAACTTAAAGTAGTCTTAGCTGTGTACTTTTTTTCTTAACCTTTTTTTAATCCAAGCTTATTAGTATTTTAATTTCTGTTTCAATTGCTTTGTCTTGAGCTTTATTGAAAAATCTTTCAAGGTCTTACATCATTTATAAACTCTGGAAAACAGTGTTCAACAATATCTAAAATAATTTCGTCACTTGTATCAAATTATCAATTAAAAATATCAGTGTTCCTGACGTAAATTTCTCATTCTTAATTGACAAACATACCTCTGCATCACAGTGGTTCTACAACCAATATTCATTCGCAACCAGTTGAAATCCATTACATAAATCTCTTTTGATTTTTGGTGTACATCATATCCGTAAAAAGTACTGAAGAGAAAGGTAAATGATGATATTCAGGACTCAAGTCATATTCTTGATATTCTCTTCTTTTCAAATTTGTCATCTTGTGATATTGAGCAAGTAAAGGTATAGCTTCCATACAGGACTTCTTTCACTTCGAACAGTTTTAATATTCCATAACTTATGCAACAGTTTAGTTGCATTACATGCAACCTTAAGGTGGCTCGGGTGTCTTCTTCCATCTTGGATTCTGAAGTAGCAGATAACATTGGTCTAGATCTTTGACTAAATGTGCAAATTTTGAGAGTAGTATGCAATTTATGTGTAAGACTTTTGATATAATTACAGAAAATTGTATGTTTTATCATAATGATTGCTGTAATTTCTCAAAAGCACCTTATTTGTGTTTGATTATTTTTTTTTCAACTTTGCCAAATAAGGGGAGATAACTCCGATAAAGTCATTTTTATAATAGAAAGTGTTGTGAATTTATCTATTTTAATCTGTAGCAAGAAAACAAGTTCGGTGACCCCATTTTTTCTTTTTCTTATCTGAAAGCATGTTATAAGAGCTATCTTCTCACATTATATCTTAAAATTCTATCAGGTAGTTTTCTTTTTATCACACAAAATTTGATTTTCCATGCATTATCTCTACAAAATCTGACAATTTTGCACTACCTGTAGCATGAAAAAAAGTCCGGTGACCCATACTCTTATTATATTTTTGAAAAAAGCATGATAAATACTTCATTTTGACAAATTATTAAAAAATTCTATCAATTTTAATTAAGACGCCCTAGCCACCTTAACAACACTTTCAGTGATGCTGCTGAAGTACAGAATCAAAAAATCTAATATGTGGTGAAAGTAAATCCCTCGATCAATAATTGAATTTAATCTTCGTACGCTAGGAACGATTTTCCAGCCTATCAATTGATTTTATCAATTCACTTTATTTCTCCACAGAAATATATGAGTGAAAAAATCCTATTAACTTTTGTATCAACCATTTCATCATAGTCAGTCATTATTATAAACATCACCTTCAATGACAACTTCGTTAATATCAACATGCATATAACTTCCATAATAATAAATATCATTAGCAATATACTAACTTTCAGTAACTTCTAGTACTCTAGGTTGGTACAATGTGTCTTCAGTCTTTTTTTATGTTTTGTGTCTATAAGATGAGTCAAATATTTTGGACTAATTATTACAATTTGTTTTATGTGGTGGGATACCAACTATCCTAATTTGATGTGAGAGGTGAGCGCTCGCATAGATAATTAACCCCGCCACATTCTGCCAAGTCAGGAGCCCGTGATTCTTTGGTTGTCTTTTGTCGCTTTGTCATAATTGTTTTCTGTTTATTTGTTTTGTATTCAAATCAGGCCGTTTCTCGTTTGAATTATTGTTCGAGGCCTTCAATATGGTATGTAACTTGCTAATTGTTGAATGCTGTACTGTATCATATAACTGCTTACATGTACGCCTTTGAGTCTCTAGTGAATGGTCTTCTTATTGGCAATCATACCACATCTTCTTTATTTTACAGTTTCTAATGGTTAAAATCGGAATTCGATCGTTCAGAATCTAAAGTGTATAAACCATATATAAGAATAACAACATTACAGTTAGCAAGTAAGATATAACTTTATATGTTATCATATTAATATTAAATGTTTGTTTATATTGTAAATTATCAAAAAAAAAAAATTGGAATTTGAGTTTTGACTGATATTCAATTACGTACTTTTAAGATAACACAAGAGTGTTTAGAAAGTGGATTTGTCAATCACCAAACAAGCCGTCATTCATGCTCGAAGGTCTGTAGATGCTACTAATTTAGACCTTAATCGCATATAAACCATAATCTAATCGCAAAGTCAACATTGTCAAAGTGGTGCGAGGTGCTTTGAGTTAACAGATAAAATTAACATTTACTCACCCTTCATGAACCCATGCTATTTCTTGTAATTCACAGTGGTCGAAATGGCACCTGACAATGCGTTCGTTGTCGCTAGTACATATCTTATAAGCGCTATTGATTTTCTCCTTGATTTGTTACCACAGTTAAACTAGGTTGGTCTCAATTTTGCCAAATATAAGAACAAGATTCTAAATAAGTCATCAAACAGAACTTAGGTGAGCGTCAATAGTGTGTAAGGTTCGTATATTCTAAAACAATATATATAATAGATACCTGGAAATATCTGGAAACGACCCAGAGCTAACTTTAGACAGTGTTTATTTGTAAGATATTGAATATATAGGTTACAACAAAATATATTTTTATGATATTATTAATTTGCACATACATACCAACAAACGGCAATGTAAGTCATTGGCTCCTTGAATATGTAAGCTGGTAGTTACGATGGTCAAGTTTTTTAGTTTTTTAGAATAAAAAATCTTAAATAAAATATCGATTCATTGGACTGGTTGGTAGTAACAAGTTCTAAAACATTTTTTTAGATAAATTTTTTACAACTTGAACACGGAGCTGAATGATCAATAAGGTACATTAAAAGAAGAGCTAAATCTATGTTAAGTCAATATTTTTGGGGGGAGTTGAAACCTAAATGTGTTATAAATCATGTCAATACCGAAAAACTGTTTCGTGTGTTATTGTTTTAACTTACCTTCTTTTTTATTTTCTTTCACCTTTTCATGGTTTATATCCACAACTTACAATTCAATGTCAGTTGCTTCAATATGGAACGCAGCAGTTGTTTCAGTGAGCGCTCTGACATTACGTGATGTAGATGTAGTTTTATCAGTAATTGATATTTTGACATTTCATGATTTGGTTTTGCATTACTTAATAAGTTTTATATATTATTTAATGTGGTTGTGTCATTAGGTAATGTGGTTTCATCATTACTTGATATGTGTGTGGCTTTGCATGATGTAGTTGTTTCATTAGAAGCTATGTTTGTATTATTATTTCGTAATGACGATTCATCAATTCGTAATATGGCTAAGTATTACATATATTGATAAGACTTTATCATCTTTTAATGTTGTATAAACGTTACTCGATGTGGTTTTCACATTTTTGATATGGCTTAAATATTATTAAATGTTGATTCAAAATTTGACAATTCTTTAAACCGCGATGTGTTTGTTCCAGTGTTTGATGTGGATTTGTCAGTCTTCTACGTGATTATCCCATTACTTGATGAGATGAAACCACGTGACTTATTTAGAAAAAGTCCTAAGATTGAAACCCAATGTCCATGTCGTTTGTTTTAAATGTGGCTCCGCTTAAAATGCATAGACCCCAGTATTAAGTTTTAGGTACTTTATGAAACAAAACATACAATTAATAAGATCGAGTTCTATTTAATATTCGAATGTAATGAGACTACTGAAAACAAGCTGTAATCAATAGCAAAGGAACATTTTATATAATATCTCGGAACACACCTTTTCTTTCTAAAAACTACAGAAGGACAGATCTGGATGCAGCGCTATGTTTTATATAAAAATCAAAGCAACGAAGGGATAACGGCGGAAAAAACTGTAAAAATAAAAGACACAATTGTCTCGTGGAAGTGAACGTTCTCACTTGAAATTAATATTCAGCTGGGCCAAACAAAAGATTTGAAAATTGGTAGATACGTCTTCTCCACTAAGAATCCGGCATTAAGGAGTAACATCGGAGCAAATACTGGTCAGGGCACAGTCAGAATAATGAGTCAAGGAAGGATAACATGTCTTTCAGTGTACTGTAACATACTGAACTGATACGATGACAATAAGAATCAGCCTGTCAGTTAAGTATAAAAAAAGTTCGTACTCACATTACATTATAGAGGGGGATTTTTTTTTTTCATATAATGAGTTTGGAAATGTATTGTATATCCCATATGCAGGCAACACGGACATTAACAATCACAAGGTTCAACATTAAAGACTAAAGAAAGAGTAGCATGGAATGCAATTTATCAAAAATAAAAGATCATTAATATTAGTTTATACACAAATGATCATACATATTTAGAAAATCGGATGGAAAAAAAATTGGAAAATGTTTATCATATGAAGTCGCTGTTTCTCCCTTTTCCCTCTAAAAAATCAACTATGAGCGTGATTTGATTCAAAATATATCAATGATTTGGACTATGATGTACAACTTGTTTATTTTTTTTTTTAATATACTTCTGATTCCATTTGAGAGATAGGGGACAAATAGTGGACGGACAAATAGGGCAGGAATAATTCCCAAATGTCTTATATATTGTTATTCTTTCTAATTTTTTACCCTCGGCCCCATATTTTCCGCCGGCTTCTACCCCCCGCCCCCACCTTTTTTAAAATCCTGGATCTGCTTTAGAATATTTGATTACAAACTAAATACTAGAAGTTCTACTCGAACTCTTGACTCGAAATCGAACTTTCACTCGAAACGGAACTCTATTTCAAACTTCAACTATAACTCTGGTTCGAAATCTTACTCGAATTCGGTGCATAAGCTTAACTTTAACTTCAACTCTAACTCGATGGATAGCTACACTCAGTCATACATAAACAAACGACATCAAAGAGTAACAACACCACATGAAACACAAGATGGCATGTGACACGTAGTGTTGAATCGTCAAATTTTGGATCAACATTATGTAATGTTAAAAAGATATCAAAAACGTGAAATATATACCGATAAATGTTAAAATCACATCGAGTAACGTCTATACAACATTTATTATTATTATACTTCATGTCAAAATGCCAGATTTTGATTGGTTAATACGAGGGAGACAATTTACTCTATCCCATGGCAAATACTCTATTACCCTTCACGGAGACGCTTGATCAAGTGTGCGCTTTATTATACGGATGATTGTTATGTACAAGACGACATAGTTTATTACTTTGAATTTGAAATTTAATAGACAGTAATAACAGAACATTCAGTTTAATAAATCAAATAACACATATCTGAGAGGGTGATAGAGCAGATTGTTACCCCTCGAAAAGACATTATCAACCTTGGCTTCGCCTCAGTTGACAATGTTTTCTCGGGGTAACAATCTGCTCTTTCACCCTCTCAGCTATGTGTTATTTATATAGTGATAAAATCTTGTCAATTAATGTAATATCTAGCCATATTACACTATGAAATAACCACATCATGTAAGGAAACAACTACATTACGTAAATTCATAGACACATGAAGTAATGTAAAAACCACATAACCTAATGACATATTAACTAATGATGCAATCATATTAAGTAATAACAAAACGATATCAAGTCATTACACAACAATAACATGTAATATATCAAGTAATGACAAAACATTAGTAAGTAATATCAAAACATCATTAAGGAATGTCAAAGCCATATCATGTGTTGACAAAAAAGGATCAAGTAATGATTAGTTGTTTAAGGGTCATCAAGCTTGTTTTTATCTACAGATTGTGAAAAAAATGATACATTCTGTATAGATTATACAGAGAGAAAGCAGAATACTGTAAATAGAAGGTAAACTAAAGGATAATTTTTTAAATAGAATATGAGAAGATACCTTATATAAAATGCTATCAGAATATCAAAAGAAAAAATTGGGTCACTGTACGATATTTCTGCTAAAACATAAAATAAATAAATTTTCTGAAGATTCCCTCATAAATTATACTTTATCTGAGTTACCTCCCATTAATACGTAGAATTTAAAAAAAATTAAAAATCAAGTCAACTATTCTATTTTTATAAAAATATGAATGATGGCAACCTATGATCACATCAACTTGTTTATTTAAATGAAAATGTTTATTAGTAAATTGTATTCCTGCATCGAAATTTGCCGACCTTATTAAAATTCTAGATCTATAGTTTTGTGCTTTTGCTAATCACGGCAATCATATACATGTCATTGAAATTAAAACACGTTGTTTTTTAAATCTATATTTTTCTTAATCCATACATTTATCTGCATTTGCTATCTTTAAAAACACCAAGTACATTTGGAAAAAGTCTCCATTACTGTTTTTTTTTACTATTCAATATAAACTTATGAAAACGGTAAAGAAATTCTTATCTGAAACAAATTTTATAAATCTCAGAAATTTTTCACGCTATTTTCATTTATCTTTTTAAAATGTATTGTGTAAAAATGCATGTTTACATTAATATGACGGTTCTTTATATCAGTTGTTATATGTCTATATTGATAAAGTTTTTGATGTATGTATCATTTGTGAGACAACAATGACATTGTGTTCTTTTGAGTTGTTTCACATCTACCTGAAAAATATCTCAGCAGATTATCATCCTTACGTAAGGTTGTTTGGGTCGGTTGGGGAACTTGCATGGTACCGTTAATTTCAGTCAATATAATGGAATTCTAAACGACTGTCATACAAGTGAGAAGTTTAGCTAGCGATAAAACCAGGTTTAATCCACCATTTTTTACATAAGGAAATGCCTGTAACAAGTCAGGAATAAGTCAATTGTTTTCCATTCGTTTGATGTGTTTCAGCTTTTGATTTTGCCATTTAATAAAGAACTTTTCGTTTTGAATTTCCCTTGGAGTTCGGTATTTTTGTTTTTTTTTACGTTTTGTTCAAAGTGAATCAATTTTTCCATCAGACTTGGTCCATATATTTAAGCCAATTTCTGAGACTTTTCTCGAATTTAAAAACAAAAGCAGGAGAAGAAATTCAAATTGCTTTTGAGTTTTTTATTAGATTATGACGAAGCCTACCTCCCCTCCTTTTAAGTGTTGACCCGTTTTTTTTCTTCTTATTTGGTCAATGTTGTCGACCATTTTGAAGCTTTCCTTATATATTGTGACGTGTATAATATATATCAAAAGATGTTTTCCTTATACGCTTGTAATTGATCAATTGTTTTTTAAATCTATTTTCAAAAATTTCCAGTTAACATATTTCCTAACAATCGCATAACATTTAGTAAAATCACTTACAAATTTGGTTAATGCAATTGACGACTTCTGAGACTTCTGAGACTTTCTGTGGGCTGTAATTGAAAAACAGCAAGCTTTAGACAATAAGGGTCGGATAAGAACAAAAAGACAAAAGAGATAATTTCAGCTTAGTGAATTTTCTATGTAGCAATATTACAACAGCGCCTGCACATGGATCATAAATCTCTCTGTTGAAACGATATTCTAGGGCTTGCATTTCCCATCATGATTTCCTTGATAGAGGATTGCTGCTTAAAAGGAAGCTATTAAACAAAGAGTTCCAAGTGGTGAAGTCGAAATCATCTCTTCGAAAATTTTACAGACGCCATCACGAGTTGGTTGACCGTAATGCAATTTCTGTTTCACAGACGACGACGGATAT